CTGCATAAACCAAAGGAGAAAAAGTATTGACCAGCTGAACAAATGTTTGTTTAATATACTGCATAAATCTCAATCGCTTATTGATTCATACAATAGCTACTGAAATCATAATGCCTTAATGTCAGCAGATACTCCTTTTCAAAAGGAACAATTTTGTATCTAAAAGATTTATTTTGGGTCTTTAAAAATGCATTTTATTAGCTAAATATAAGCATGATTTATTTATTCTAACTAAAAAAATACAAAAGGCACCTTCTGAAAAGGCCAGGTTTATTTCTGAAAATGTAAGTAAGGGATTAAGGGATGTCCATAAATGGACTGGTATGGGAATCGCTATTCCATAATTTAAAGTACGCGTTAGTAAAAGAATATTTAATAAAGTACACTTGAGAGCTACAGTAGCTGCCATATCTCTGGGTTTTTAACAGTGGGTGGAGGAAGTCAATCCAGATAAAGCTGCATGTTATTTAGACTCATCGGCAGCATTATAGAGTATTAATTTCAGCAAAACAAACAGAGATCACATTGGGATGGAAATATTTACAATGTTACAGGCCAGATATAAATGAACAATTGATCACTTATGCTGGATAACCGCACATATATGAGTCAAAGGAAATGAAACAGTTGACAAATAAGAAAAGCAGAAGCAGCATCAAAAAAAAAAAAAAAAAAAAGGATATATCCCTAGGCAAAAATGAAGGAAAAGCACTAATTAAAAGTAATATTGATTGATACTTGAAACTCACATGATAAAGGAAGAGAATAAATACAACATTAAAAATGAAATTCATGTTAGAACAATAACTAGTAATAATAAAACAATAGCTAGCTGCAATATATCTGGGTTTTCAACAGCAGGTGGAGGAGGTCAATCCATATAAAGCTGCATGTTATTTAGACTCATCAGCAGCATTATAGAGTATTAATATCAGCAAAACAAACAGAGATCACATTGGGATGGAAATATTTAAAATGTTACAGGACAGATATAAATTAGCAATATATGATTATTTATGTTGGATATTGGCACATGTATAAGTCAAAGGAACTGAAACAGTTGACAAATGAATAATAATCAAAAGCAGCAGTAGCAGCTATACATCAACAACAACAAAAAGATATTTCCCTAGGCAAAAATGAAGGAAAAGCACCAATTGAAATAATTATTGGCAAAACTCACATGATAAAGGAAGTGAATACATACAATATTAAAACTGGAATTCCAGTTAAAATAATAACTAAAACAGAATTGAAAGAATCAGTTAAACTGCACAATATAAATGTTTCTACTCATGTAGGATTACACATGCAATGATTCTGTCTTAAAATGGCAAAACTACTTAAAGTACTCTGTCATTTGAGCCATACAGAAAAACACAAAAGCATGTAATAGGTTTGCATTTACATTCACAATGAAACAAAATGTTCTGATATTTAAAAATCAAAAAGCATACAGGATGTGCTTTCTGCAATCTCTCTCTTTTTTAAGTGAATGTATTACAAAAATGAAACAGAACTACAGTACAATGTAAGCCATATTGATGAATCAGGGAAGGATATGCAATAACCCAGAAAAGCCGAAAAGTTATTGTATACTGTAGAATGACAAATGCACAACGACAAAATGATTAACAGCACTTGAAGCCCCCATAAAAGTAAAAATGAAACATCTAAAATTGTGTATGGTACCAAAACAATTGCCGCAGCGAGGGGACACAATGTCTTGTGCCATTAATCAATCTCTGATGAATGTATTATAACATGTAAAACAGTAACACAAAAGGAATATTCTAAAAGCATGTAAACACCTTGAATGTGCAGTATGCAAGTTTGACACCCAATGGTTGAACTAGGTATTGCACTCATGGATCAAAACACCCACAAGCGCAGGTTGCCAGATTGATGTTGAGTGTGCCTGACTATCGAGCCTAAAGACTGATTTAAGGCTGATTTAAATTGTGTTCTAAATAAAAGCAACAGCGATAGAAAGAATATTCTCTATATTAAAAGGAGTTTTTGTCCTAACCAATACCTGGAATTTGTATTTTAGAAATGGATTCTATTTTTAGCTTGAGAAGATGATCACCTTAGGTCAACCTCATGTGCTTTATTCAGCCTGATCTTACGAGAAAACGTAAGTATTTTATGTTTTGTCAGTTTAGTCGCTAATTCGTACAAATTCGTTCTAGTTCAGTCGAAGGAAAATGTATGATTTTAAAAAGGAGGCGTGGCACCCAACCACACCCCTAAACCCAACCGTCATTAGATGATAAGCAAATTGTACTAAATTGTATGAATTACATCGTACAAATTCATACGAATTAGCCACTAAATCAAAAAGTTACAAATTGTCATGAGATTGTGTTGGCTTTATTCAGAGTTAAATGCTAATAGTGTGAGTTTGAAAGCCATTTTACATTACATGTATTGCCATACTACTGAAAACATCAGCAGGTAGTTCACCTCATGTCTTGAAAATAAAATAAACCGTTTGAAATTGAGCTTCAAAACTGTGAAATAATGCAAACTAACCCATCAGTTATTTAGCATCTACATTTAATAATGGTAAAGATGTTTAATATTTATTAATTATATTAAAAACCTTACCATTTTGCTGGAGTGCAGTGCAGTAGTGTTAGTTCTGCTTCTGAAGTGCTATATTTAAATTTCCGTCATGTCTTATCTGGTGCAAACCGCCAAAATGCTCATCGCTGCAAATCTCGTCATACAGCATGTTGATAAGTCACAGGGTTACAGTTTAACCTGCATATCTAATGTTTACGTTTGTAATATTAATATTTTTTGCTAAATACAAACCACTTCATGTGGAACTCTGTCTCCTTTCAGAGTCCGCTACTGTCCACCGCAGGTAGCATTTTGGTCACAGGCGCATGCTTTGAGAGCTTCTGACTGAAATATAATTAGCTAAAGTGGCAGTGGGCAGGTTAAAAGAACCAAAACAAAGACATGTAACTCACATTTTCAAAGCAGAATCTGACTTGTTTTTCAGATAGACAAGAATGTTCACTTAGCATGTTTCTTAAATATCTGCAAACATATTATTTTGCTTTAGAAAAGAGAAAAACTTACATACACCACCTTTAATCAGAATATTTTCTTATTCAGAAGAAAATTAAAAATAAATCTAATTACTAATGTCCGTGTGAATTTACCCAGTAAAAAGATAAATTATAAGGCATTTTCAATATCCTCCATTTTTGAGGGTCAAAAACTTTGAAGTAGAGTGGATGCCTGATGAAAACACTGGAAAAAAAAAATTTTAAACACTAATGCACTAGCGTAAACACAGCCTCAGACCCATGTGAAACATCCAGTAACTGGCCTCTGTTGCTTCATAATTCTGTGTGTGTGTGAGTGAGAGAGAAAGAGAGAGAGAGAAATGCAAACTCCTGTTGCCATGGCGACATGAATTTGATGAGAATAAAGAATGAAATAAATGAGGAGTTTGCGTTGGCATGGAGATGCTGCCTAAGCGTTTGCCCCAGAGGCCTCTCAGGCTGGAGTGTGTGTTGGTGTGTGTGGCCACAGTCGGAGTAGAAGTCACACACACACACATACACACACATTTAGCTCATGCATCGCATTTGAAGCCCACATCACTGTCATGTAGAGATTCAGGATCGTGCTCAAACTAGGGCGCATGAGGTTTTACAGCAAATATTCAGATTGTGTGAAACGACCTAGTGTGAGTGCATCACAAAGCTTGAGACCATGTGAGATATTGTGGAGCATCTCACAAATACAAATGTTTACAAATACAAGCGCAGCCGTTTAAAGCTCATTTGTGGTGAATGATGTCAGAATTTACCGGTATTTTGGAATGGATGTGTGAATGTTCTTTTCCAGAAAATTTCCATAACGTCCTCGCCTGTGTGAACAGCGCTTTTTTGAATATACCGGTAAAGTCGTTCCGGAAATTTTCCGGATATTTACCGGTATCACTGTGTGAAAGGGGTTACTCTGTACTTTTGAGGGTTTTTAAGGTGAAAATAGTTGGTTAGATTGCAACTATGCAGTTTATTTATAAGGATAGTGCCTATTTTTCATCGTCAGATCCACAATATGGTGACAGAGACCACATAATAAGCCCTGGAATAAGCCACATAATTTTTCCCCCAGGAGAAAAACTCTTTAGTTTAAGGCTAAAGAGTTATTCCAAAATGTAAAGGAGATCATTAGGAGATCAGGAGATGACAAGCGAACAAAAACGAAGCAAAGCACGGTTTACATGATAAATAAAAAAAGTAACACTTTATTTTGATGGTCCATTTGAGTATTAGTAGACTGTCTGCTTATCTGTTGATACTGCTCCTTCAACAGACATTTGACTGACTATATAAAACCTTGCAAGTACATGTCAATTTACCCTAACCCCAACCTAACAGTCTACTTATAATCTAATGAGAATTAGTTGGCATGTAGATGCAATGTAACTTAAATTCAACAAACTGACCATCAAATAAAGTGTGACAAAAAAAAAAAAACAAAACAAAAAAAAAAAACACACAGATTGGCTAAATGACAAAAACATTGTATTAAGCATGCCAGGCCAGATGTCTTCATAAAGGAACACAACATTGTACACAAACAAACGCTGTTCCAATAAGCAGGTTCATCCAACTCTGCCTTTAAACTGTAAGTCTGAGTTGATTTACTCAATATAGGAGGCTGAGTTTTTTTAGTTTCAGATTAGTTGAAAACAGTTTGTTCAATCAATTCTGAGTAGGCTGATTCTGAGAGCATTTGAGAGTGGAGCTACTGTAAATTTGCCCTTAGTAACTGACAATCCAAATACCCTGGCTTTTGATTTGCATTAAGACTACTTTACTACTTTAGATGCATGAATGAATAAAGTATTTAAAAATTGCTAGCACTTTATAAAGAGTGAGGAGACAGAAAAAAACTCTGAGTTTACTGAAAAAACAATCTGCTCCTGAAAAGGTTAGGCAAACAGGAAAAATGATCACAGCAACTGA